TCTGATTCAGACAGCAATTGCTTCCTGTTTCTCTTAAACCTGTGGAAATATTCTCCTAGTAAAACCATGTCTTTGGTTAACAATACTGTTTCCCTACATCCCTTAGTATCCCCTAGCAGTTGGACCTAGCAAACCAAAACCTGCGCTGGCTGACTCCTACATCTCACCCTGACTTGATTTTGAGTTCGGGAGTACAAGAAATGGTTCCCAAAGGATTCTTGAGTTTATCTCATCAGCTTTTTTGGCGCTGCTCCCATGAAAGCCAGAGTGCCTCTGGCAGAGCAGTGAAGGCTTACAGAGCCCAGCTACCTGTTTTGTGCCAAGACTCCACATGGACCACCTGCTAACCAACACATAAAATGTCTTAGTTTTCAACCAAATTGTCTGCAACAGGCAACTCATGGCTTCAAGACCTACTTATTGCTAAAAGCCTGCCTGTTTTCTCTCTCCCCTCCCTGAAAGTTCACCCTGATACAGAGAGAAGACATGAGAACACAAAAGGCCATTTGGGTCATGGGACTGGTCTTTTGCTTCAAAACCTAAAAAGTGCCTGGAGAGGGTGAGGAGACACTAGTAACATCTGAGGTTCCATGGAAACACACAGTCATCCCCAAATACTTTGTAGTTAGTATGCTTTTCATTGTCTCAATCTGTCATCACACTAAGTCAGGTCCTGGGAAGAACGCTCTATCCTAAAGTATCCAGATTTCTAACTTAAAAATTGGGCATGTTCATTTCTGTTACGCATTGTGACTGAAACCTTTGCTCACAATGCTACCAAGGTTCTGATTGCATCAACTACTAATTACCTAATCCATTTAATTACAAGGAGATACCAAAGAGACTGTCCCCTGAAATCCAGTAGGGGGTACAAGTGCAGAAGAGCACCCTCTCATTGCCTGCGCAGCTCATCAAGCACCCAGACTCACCATAAGGCCACTCACTGAAAAATTATTTCCTTGGTACATGTTACAGACAAAAACTAATTTATACAGCCCATATTGGGCATACATTTCATGTATGGCATGTTTACCTTCAGATGGTATGAGACACTTCCAAATAACTACTTGAGACATTTCCATGCCAATGTAGTGGTAAAAAGCTCCTGAATTATGTACTTGATGTTTTTTCTTGGCAAATATTTGCTGTAATAGTCGGTGGGAACGTGTGTGAGTGAAGCTTGTACTGGAACCGAGAACACAAATGTGGAGGTCTCAGTATCCCTGAAGTCGAGAAAAGTGGTCCTGCTAATTTGCTCGTAAGTCACAGTCAAAACACGGTTGAGAATTTGGAGGATTTTACCCACCAAAACGAAACAAAACAAAACAAAACCCCAAACAAACAAACAAAATCTCCACAAACTATTCCTTTTAAAGGAGTAACAGTAATTGGTCTTTTTCAGGTTTAAAATAGCATTTTAAACTTTATTCTTTAATAAAGAGATGTGATGTTTAGCAGTACGACCTATTTGCAGACAATGGTTTAATTAAACATTTAATGAGCCCATCTCATTTCTTTGCACGAGCTTCACTTTAAACTGCAAAGCTAATAATGTAAACACCACATTTTGGTTATTAAAATAATTGCTTTCACAAACACTGACCTCCTGACAAACCAAATGGCTGGTGCCATGCATACAATACTCCCACAGCCCAGGGATCTAATTTTAGCACAAAGCCCAATTTACAGCTGACCATCAGCTTTTAAAAATTTTCTAGGCAAATTGTTTTAAAGACAGTGATGTTTTCACCAAATCCCTCAAGATCTAATTCAATTATTCAAGAAAATTTAGAAAAAACACCCTTCATTTAACCATGTAACAGCCTTTTAGAGAGTTACCCAAGCAGAGGAGCAGCAGCAGCTTCAGGATGTTTCCTCAAACTCTCATATCTGGATCAGAGGCACCAAAACCATGACCTTCCTTTAAGCCACGGCTCTGGAGGATTTTTTTTATCTAGTTAGTGGAGTCTTTCTAGGAGCTAGTTACTTTGGAAAGGACCAAACATTTTCAGTGGGACTTTAATAAAACTAAAAAAAAAAACACTTTTCCCCCCTAGCTTTATAACCAGAAAAACCTGAAGTATTTCTGCAAAATGGTGACAAATTTTCAAGACTCCAAGTAAAAAACTCTTACTAAAATGAGTTGTCAAAACATTTTGAAAATCTGTCAACAGCTCGAATTCTTAGAAACCATGATTCGGTGATGCTGGAAATACAATCTTGTCCATGCTGAAGCAGCTAAACCACGTCCCTTGCTGCTTCAGCTGAGCTTTTTTCTTCATGGAAAGTTACTGGTAGGCTTTCATATCTATGATGTGATTCCTCAAGCTAATCAGCATCCCACCAGCATCATCCTTTCCCAGGCAGGACACTTCCAGGGAGGCCACCACAGACTCCAGAGCCAGTCAGCTTCTACTGTTGGGAACTGTCCTGTCACCCAAGGAAATGGCCAATTTTTCACTCCCCATCTAGGAGCCAACCATCCCCCATGAGGGGACAATGCATGGCATGGTGAGGTATGAGTTACACAAACTTTGCTAACTGGCTTCTCACTAAAAACATCAGGGGTCTCTCACAGTAGGTGAAATTGCTGAGGGCTCCAGAGAACCGAACTCTCGTTTTTTAATGTTCCCAACAAGAAAGTCAAAAGCAGCAACAAAAACAACCAACCAAACAAATAACCCCAGTCTTACTTCCCCTGCAAACACAAAAGCACCAGGAATCTAAACTGTGATACCCATCTGCAGCAACAAAATTCCTGCAAATTCAGGTAAACTAGCTTAGTTTTGTATCATCTGACACAGTGGATCGTGTGTAATAATTCCCGGATTACCACAGTGGAAATTATTTCTAACTATAGTCATTGGCACTAAATGGCCCATCTCTGACCTATTAAGCCCTTGACCATCCATGGGAGACTTTGACTCATTTCAATCGTCTTTTGATTAGGTCTGATACACCTTCACAATGTTTTTCTGCTTTTTGTGTCCTTGAGATCTGCTATTGCTTTCCACAGCTATTGCATTCGTGATTTATGGGTTTAATTTTTAAATTTTTATTCCGTTTTAGGGACACAACTGATACTTTGAAATAGGAGCCACTTTTTTTCTTAAGGGTTGCATGTGGTATTGGTTGCCTTGAGCACAACGGCAGATTGGAAATCTTCTTTGGTACTTCTAGACACTTTCCTTTCACCTCTACGGAACAAAATGCTTTAGCACAAAAGCAATAATGGCAAAATCCCTAAGTTCAGACATGTTAGTGGCTATCAAAACATGATACTTTGATTACAGTACTTTGTAAACTAATTAATTTCATTTTATATGTAGCCTGTTCCTAGGAAGCATAAGTGTAAACCCAAGCTATTTTCTTCACCTGACAAGTATGAATAGTCTGTTAGAAAGTGAGGAAGTTCTCCTGCTATGGATGTGGCCAAGAGAGAACTGCCAATAACGTGAAATCTCATGGCAAAGCAAAATCTCTCAGATCCAAAATAAGAAATAAATGTGTGAAGCTATGGAGAGGTTCTAGTGATGGGAAACAGCCCTTTGCTAAAAGACATCATGTAGCTACCAAGAGGCAGCAAATATTTTCCTGTAGATGAAAAGAAAAAAAAAAAAATAGAACCTAGGCTAAAATAAACCGTAAACCAGGGCACAAGCTCCCATCCCAGTGAGACTGACACTGGCAACTGTAAATTATGGGGAGCATTTCTTCCTCCAAGCCCAGATCTTTCCTACACATGTTATCAACCCCTACAGGGTTTGCAGGACTGGCATCACTCCCATCCTCTTTGCAATACCTTATCAGTGAGACTTCTCATTTTATTTTAAAAATACGAATGTAATTATTTACTTCAAGTCTCCCAGGAAAGGACTGCAGTTCTTACTGCAACATAACAGACAAGAAAGGCTACAGTGTTTGCCAAGGCAAACAGCGAAGACAGAATCCAACATCTTAGGCGGGGGAAAAAATCACCTTTCAGACACTAGCTAGGATTAAATGGGCATTTGGCAACGAATCCAAAATGTATCATTTTCTTGAGTCTACCTCTGTGGAGTCAGATCAGAAACAACGATCTAGAAAGGTCTGAAATTGAGTAATTAGCGCTCCACCGACACCACCAACTCCCTCACAAACACCGTGTTGGCACGGGGCGCAGAGGAAAGGTTTTGAATCCAAGCCACCCCCGCAGCGGCCAAGGCGCATCCCACACATGGCGAGGGACCGGCGCGTTCGCCGCGTCCCCCGTGCCCGGCCGGTCCCGCGACGGGAGCGGAGAAGCGGAGACAAGCGGGGAGAAGCGGGGAGAAGCGGAGAGCGGCGGGCAGGGCAGGGCAGGGCAGGGCGGCCCCGTCCCGCCCCATCCCTCCCCCGGGCCGGGCGCGGCGGCCCCCCGGGGGCGCGGCAGCGGCGGCTCCAGCGGCCCGGCCCGGGCGGGCGGCGGCAGCGGGGCTGCGGGAGCCTCCCCGCCGGGGATGCGGCTCCCCGGGGGACGCGCCGCACGCTCCCGCCCTCCGCCCGCCGTCGACCGGGCGCCGCGCGGAGCCTCCGCCTCCGCCTCCCCGCGGCGTCTCCCCCGCGGCGGGGCCGCCGCCGCCGCCGCCCCGCATGGCCAGAGCGAGCCGGCCGGTGCGCGCCGCCCAGCCCGCGCCGCAGCAGCCCGCGGCCCCGGGGCCGAGGGCGGGCGGGCGAGGCCAACGGCCCCGGGGCGCCGCCGTCGCCAGGCGGGCGGGCAGCCCCGCCGGGGGATGACTCAGAGCCGCGGCCCCTGCAGCGAAGCCGCCGCCGCCGCCGCCGCCGCGCCGGGCTCCGCGCAGCGCCGCCCCATGCCCGCGCGCCCCGCCGGGGGCCGCCCGCCGCCCGCCGCGCCCGCCGCGCCGCGCACCGGATGATGCCCCCGCGGGGGGCGGTGGGCTCCTGCCGCCGGCGGCGCCTGGCGCCCTTCAACGAGGACAACGGGCGCTTCTTGCTGCTGGCCGCCCTCATCACGGCGTACCTGAGCGCCGGCGCCACCGTCTTCTCGGCCCTCGAGAGCCCGTCGGAGGCGGCGGCGCAGCTCCGCTGGAACCGGACCCTCCACAACTTCAGCCGCATCTTCAACATCAGCCTGCCCGAGCTGCGCGCCTTCCTGCGGAGCTACGAGGCGGCCATGGCCGCGGGCATCCGCGTCGACGCCCTGCGGCCCCGCTGGGACTTCCCCGGCGCCTTCTACTTCGTGGGCACCGTCGTCTCCACCATAGGTGAGCGCCGCCCCGACGGACCCGCGGCGCAGACCCGCCCGTCCGGGGGATGCCGCGGCCCCGGCCCCGTCGTTATAGCGACCGAAGTTTGGGGAGAGGCGCCGCCGCGTTGCTGTGGCAACCGGGGCTTCGCAGCGCGTCCGGGTCCCTCTGTCCCCGCTGCCCTCCCGTCCCGGGCACCGTCCCGGTCCCACCGCCCCCCCTCTCTCTGCACGGAGCCGGAGACCGGCGCTGCTCCCGCCCCGTTCGCAGGAGCGCCGGCCGTCGCGGCTGCGGGAGCCCCGTCCCTCCCCAGCAAACTTGTGCTGCCGGCGGCTGGGCCGCTTCGTTCCGCCGGCCCGAGGGAGCGAACGGGACCGGCGGCTGCCGGGATGCGCCCGCCGGGAGAATGGCTCGGTGCTGGGAGAGGCGGCGCGGGGACCGGCAGCAGCGGGCAGGTGGAGATGCTGAGCGAGAGCCAGGCTTTCGCCGCGCCCGGCCACTCAGCTTGGTACCGGCTTTAACTGCTGGCAAACTTTGGATGTGGATGTGTCTTAAAGACTCAAGGCACACCAAGTCGTGTGTCTTCCAGCTGTAGCACAATACAGTGTTCTCAGTGTATCGCTGCAGCCGGCTGCAGTTTTTTACGTCCCGTTGGTGTTTAGGAAGAGCAGCGCTTTGTAAAGCAAATTATGAGTTTTAGTGGGAGGATTTTTTTTTTTAACTCTGTGGCTATCTACTACTTTTGGACTATTGCTTGAAAAACCCTGTCCCTGAACACAAGATCTTAGCGGTCTTAACTCTGCCGGTTTTTAAGTTATGTTAGAAGCCAGGTGTCTTCTGAGCATAAATGTCATGTTTTCCCTTTATTGTAGAGGAAGAAACTCACAGCTCATTATTGCTTTTACGTTCAATAGGTATGGAAAATGTTTTATCAATAGTGACTAATCCATATAATGGTGTCGGGATGGTGAGTACAGCAGTGTTGCCAGGTATTGTTACTTTTTGCATTGAAGAATCCAGTTAACTTTTGCTTTGCAATTATATTTGGTAGCCCAGTCATTAAAACATAAAATAGATCATTTTGACTGATCAGAATGAAGGAAAAAGCCAATGTTTTAACAAACCCATTCTTTCATTACACCTGCTGTGGGAAACAGAAATCTTCAGGTGATGTGTAAACGCATTGCTTCCCTGCCAACTCTGGCTTTCCCTCTCTGAGGTTATTGAAATGTAAAATGTTTCCTCTTGCTTTGCATTTCCAGCTCCACTTCATTGCCCCATCTGCAGTCATTTGTACCTGGGCAGGGGAACTGAGGAACTCAGCAGGGGGTTTTGCCCTGTGTAAATGGCAGAACCAAGAGTTGTGCTTCTCATATTCCTGTAGCCCCAACCGAGGGCAGTGCTCTCTCCTTAGAGTCAATAATGTCACATCTCACATGCTGAGGTGGAGGCTGAAGACTGTTTTGGTTTTTTTCTAATGTGCAGCAAAGGCTGGATTCTGACAAGTGTTTCCCAAATCGTACCTTCTCTTGGAATGCTCCCTGCCAGTGCATACTCCTGGATTACTTACAGTGCTTGGTGTGGGTTCAGAGAGCCGTAGAGCAAGGCTTTGCTGGGAGTGAGGAGATGCAGCAGAAGGTGTCTGGAAGCGAGGCCGAGTTGTGCCTGTGGGCACAGCAAAGGCTGTGGCAGAGCTGCTGTGCTGGGGTGCCAAACTGCACAGCCTGGCAGGAGCAGTACCAGCATCCCGAGGCTGCTGCGCTCCATCCGGGCATGGCTTTTACCAGCTACGTGTACAGCTCCTGCAGATGAAGAGGAGCTGCTGCCTCCACCTCAGTTCTTCTCTTCGTGTGCCTCTTCAAGCTGCTGCAGCTTGTAGAGGCAAAGCCCACAGCGAGCTCAGCTGCAGCAGGGTTTCTTCCACCACACAGTTGTATTCGGTTATTTTTGGCAGTTCCGCCCAGCAAAAGCAGGAAACCCCAATGAATTAACTAGTTGTTCCACTAAAACACAACGCTGTGCTCTCAGTCAAACCGGCACAAATCTGTCTGGCTTGTGGTCCCTGCACGGGAGAAACCAAATGGCAGGACAGCCAGATGTCACCTGGGTGAGCAGTTCCAAAGCCATTCTTTCAAGGTGTGTTTTTCCCTCCCAGCCAGTTCATTTATGTACCTACCCACCTGGATTACCTTTGATTCCACTATCAGCTCACATACCACGTTATCCTGGCTCTGAGCAATTTGATTTGCTTTTGTGTCGTGCTTAATTGACAAGAACGCTGTTTTTACCCAACCTTGCCAAGAACTACCAGACAAGCAGAGTCAAAACAGCTTGCCTTCCTCAACAGATTCATCAGCTACATGTGTCAAAGCAACTTTATTACTCCAGCTAAACACACCACTATCCTAGCGAGGTGATGGAAAGCTTCTTTACTGCTTAACAAACAGCAAGCATACTTGGGTATGGGTAAATCATCCACAGGTTACTCAGCTTCTCATCTGTAGAAGATTCCAACTTGCAGGAATCTAGCTATGTCTTTCCAAGCCCTTGCTCTGTTCTCAACAGTTTTAATAAAACTACCAGATCTTTCACATTAAGCATTGAAATACAGTCATCCAGGGACATGGCTGCAAGTTCTCCTGGAGTTTGTGTAAGCTGAGCTGAGAAAGACTCCAGTTCTTCATCCGTCTGTGAACACAAGAGTTAGGAATAGCCAGGTTGGGAGAGAGCTGTTCCATCCATGCTCCTTGAGCAGGACCTTTGCAGAGACAAGCAGCTGCCATCTCTTAGGTGCCTCCTTGGCTGTAGCTCTGCAAGTCCTTAATTCTTCAGGGACACAATCAGTCTAGGTGAGAAACATTTAATGGGGTCTTTAGGAAGTGGGAGTTGAAATTCTAATTTTAAAGCATTTTCCTGAATAGCCCACAAAGTGTGTCTTACTCTTGATAGCACTCTGGACACTCAGTTTTTATTACTGTATTGTTTGTGCTTGAATAATGAAATGTGGAGTCTGTTTTCATTAGACACATCTGGATTTTCACAGCTATGTAAGAAAATCATTTGGTCTAATTTCTGATTGCTTGCTGTTGGACTACACCATCTATTCAGTCATTATTTTGCATTCTGAAAGGTACTGGGTTTCTAGGCAATTATTATGATTTCTTTAAGGAGCAGCTAGGTGAAATTTATTCTTGGTTCTTTGGTGTAACTGACTGTAGACTTTGGTTTTCAGTTGAATTTTTTCCTTCCCTCCACAAATGCAAACCACCTATAGTACCCAGCACTTTCTTAAAGACTGGAAACAAAAGTATAACTCAGACCAGATTTCTTCCTGGTAAAATGTTACAGATGCAGGCATAATCAGTCCTAGCTTTCCCCATATTCTGGTAGCAGTGACTTACTCTGCCTAGCACACCAGGCAACTCTGGAATGCCTGAAGGTCTGGATTTCTGACTCAATCTATGAGTCTAGACTTTGTACCCAGATTTTTTTCCTCTCTTATGTGTTAGAATAAACCTTTACTAAACAGGTGCCTGTATAGTAAAACATTTTGAAACATAGACCCATTAAAATTGGATTCTAAGCTTCTTATCTGTAAGTATATGTTTCAAAAATCAAGTGATAGAAGATACTAGAAATCCATATCAGGCATTAAAAAATGAGGTCAACTGAAGTACTCTGACATACCAAAATGATTTTTCGACATAATGTTTTTTAATAGCACCTTTACTGTGGGCAGATGATTTTGAGATGGAACATATCTGGGTTAAGTGTGCTTGAGAAGTTCTCCTGGGAAGAAGAGATGCAGGAATCTTCGCTCTGTGCAGCTGTGCAGAGGTTACAGGTGTTGGGGGCACAGTGTGTAGGAGTGAGAAGGACTGTTCATACTTGCCTTATTCCTGAGGTATCCTGTTAAATGACTCAATATTCCTGTGGACTGACTCCTCCACCCAAAGGGATGGGGCATGCTCTGCTCTTAAGAGACACGGCATTCTGTGTTTTCTGCCATCTCCCTGGCTTTGGCAGCTGTTCTCTCCTTGCTTAGGATGCCAGCTAGGTCAGACCTTCTCTCTGGGTCCTCTGTAGGGACCAAGCATACTCGGGAGCATTTCTGCTTGTGCTCCACAACCTAAGCACCATAACCACTCACTTTTGAAATATCCTCTGGCTCTGTATCATAGTCTCGTGAGAATATCTGTCAGTCCAGATGTTCTGGGGGTGATAATTTAATGGAAGTGATCTGCAAAGCACATTTGGACAGGTCAGTAAGCACAGGCGAGACGCTGGACTGCACTGCCAGGAGCCAGGGGCTGAGCCTGTGAGAGCAGACATTACAGAGGATAATTTGGGAAGAAATCCCACAAATAACCAAGATGGTCTGAAGGTTTAAGGGGTACATGTATTTGTCCCATCTTCTTCATTGTTGTATTCCAGGATGTGAATCAGAGCTGCAGCCACAGGAGGTTCTGGCTCTGCTCTCCCTGAATGCAGCCTCGCTGTCTATAGGGCCAACCCTACCAAAAGGTGACAGCCAAACCAGGGTGTGCACCTGATAAGCAGCAGTGTTACCTTCCCAGGGCTCTGCAGTTCTCTGGGGTTTGTACAGACAGCTTTTGCAGAGGTTTCAGGTTAGGGGGGAGTTGCCTCCAGAGTTGACCTTCTTAAAGTCAAGAAATAATCAAACAAAACCGAATGAGAAAGCAGCTGGAAGAGCCAGTAGTGTTATTAAGCTGCAGTGTCAGGTTATTTGTCTTTGCCATCCTATACACATCCTGCAGGCAGAATGAGAGTGTGCTTCAGGCAGATCTGATTCCTTTGGTGCATGTCATATTTTGATCAATGTGCTGGTGGATTTCTGAGAGTTATTTTCTCACTCGGGTAATCTCGATAAAGAACAGAGAGCAAGAGGCTCAGAGGGCAGCAGGTCAATGGTCAGCATATTTCTGTGGAGAGTTCTGATCCTACACTGATTTTCCTCAGATGAAGAACTGTCACCATAGCAATGTTTTCTGCTTGCC